CAAAAACAATGACAGATACATTTTTTAAAAGATTTATTTTTATTTGTGTATGTGCATTTGTGCGTGTGTGTGTGCATGTGTGCACATGTGAGTGTAGGTGCCTGCAGAGTCCAGAAATGGGCATCATATCCCCTGGAGCTGGAATAATAGGCAGTTGTGAGATGCCAGATGTGGGTGCTGGGAACAGAATTTGGTTCCTCTCCAAGAGCAAGTGCTCTTAACGACTGAGCTATCTTTCAAACACCAGGCTTTCATATTTTTAAAACTCTAGTTTTGCTGGAAAGCAAAGAAATAGGAACAAAACCAATGTATTTGATTTTACAGTCAATCTGAGGGAAAGCTGAAACACACATACACAGCTGATGGCAACTTGTTTTGGGTGAAAGTCCTGCTCTCTAACATGGTTGTTGATGGGATGTATTTGGGTACAGCCTTCCTAGAGGTCAATTTATGATCTGTCTCAGAAGTTATAAAACTGTTAATACCTTTGTATAAGTCAGGATACTCCAGAGACTCAGAATCAATACAGTATTGATTGATTGACTAATTATACAGAGTTGGCCCACCTGTTTAGGGAAGCGGACAGGTTCCAGGAGCTGTAGCAAGCAAGCTAGAAACCCAAGAAGATGTCATCTTTTCCCAAGTTCTAAGGCCTGAGAAATAGGAGGGCCCATGGTAGAGTTCTTTTCTCATGCTCATGAGCTCGAGCCTCAGGAAGAGACGATGTTTTGCTTAGAGTCAGGGAATAAGAGAAAGTAATGCCCCCAACTCCAAGGCACCCAGACAGAGAAACTCCAATCTAGCCTCGTTCTATTCAGACATTTAATTGACTAAAGGGAGGGAGACCACTTCCTTTAGTTTACTGATTCTATGTTACTCTCTTACAGAAAGAATCTTCTAGTCACACTCAGAACAGTATTTTTTTCAACATGTGGACATCCCACTGCATGATCAAGTAGAGACACAAAATCAACCATCACACCTTTTATCACAGCAATTTCACTTCTAGAAATGTATCCTCAAGAGTTGAGGGGCAGCAAGATGGCTCAGCAGGTAAAGGTACCTGCCACCAAGCCTGACAACCTGAATTCAGTCCCCAGACCCACATGATAAAAGGAATGAACCAACCTCTGCACATTGCCCCTTGGCCTCCACATGTGCACTGTGGCATGCTCATCATCCCCCACCCAAAATAAATAAATAAATAAATAAATAAATAAATAAATAAATCTAATCAATAAATATTTAATGTTTTGAAAGATGTTTAAAGTAGCTTATGAAAAATACTCATAATTTGAGCCAGATGTGGTGGCGCACACCTTTGATTCAAGCACTTGGGAGGCAGAAGCAGGCGGATCTCTGTGAGATTGAGGCTAGCCTGGTCTATATCGTGCTTTCAGGACCAGCTGAAGCTACAGGGAGACCCCGTCTTTAAAAGAGCAAAAAAGGAGCTGGAGAAATGGCTCAGCGGTTAAAAGCACTACTGCTCTCACAGAGGACCCTGGTTCAATTCCCAGCACCCACATGGCGGCTACGAACTGTGCTTAACTCCAGTTCCAGGGGTAACCGAAGCCTGTCCTCACACCCTCCACTTCCTCCAACTGGTCGTTGGCACCCCACCTCTCCACTAGATATTACAGTAGTCTCCAACTGTTTACCTTGATGTGGTCCAGTCAAGAATACTATAAAACTAATACATAGTGGCTACTTATTAGTGTGTGAGGAGTCAAGGTCTTAATGGTATTTTAATCATGTTTTACTGGTTACAGGGAGACTGATAATCTATGTAATTAAAAAAAAAATTCCTGCGCCAGGCATGGTGACGCACGCCTTTAATTCCAGCGCTCAGGAGGCAGAGGCAGGCAGATCTCTGTGAGTTCAAGGCTAGCCTGGTCTACATAGTGAATTCCAGGACAGCTGGGGCTACAGGGAGACCCTGCCACAAAAAGACAAAAAAAAATAAAAAAAAATTTCCTTTGGTGGTAGGGCCCTTTTTCGTAGGCTGGTGGCCAGGAACTGTCCACCTTCTTCTTGCCCTGCCTCTTAAGCGTTGGGATTACAGCCAGAACATCCAGCTATGTTTTTTTAAATTTAGATCTTCCCACATCTTGTGCCCTCACCAGCTTCAGCCTCTGCTGAGTGGCTTCCCGAATCCTTGGCTCCCCCTTTCTCTTCTGGCCTCTGCGAACCTGGAAGCCTTGGCTTCCTGGTGGCCCAAGGGAATCAGCGCCTTGCTGCTGGTAGTTAGGGTCTCCCCAGCTTGAAGGAGGCTTGTCTGGTCACTTTTTACTGTCCAGTCTCTGTCTCCTTCCTGTCCATTGTCTGTCAGGGGAGGGAGGCCTGGCAGGCTCCTCAGGGGCTTTGAAGTTAATAGCTCCTTTTATTTCCTCCTGCTCCATTGCTCTCCACAGAATCCCAGTGGGGCTGGAAGGCTCCTATTACACACCTATCCAGGGCTCCCAGGCTGGGGCTGGGGCTGTGTGTGGCCCACACGGAGTTAAAAGGACATTGTTTTAGAATTGGGCTAGTCTCTCACTCAGGTGCCTTGGGGATTTTACAAACAACTGCTTCAAATTCTAAAAAGCAATTCCATAGCAGGTTTTTTTTTTTTTTTTTTTTTTTTTTTGGTCTTTTTGAGACAGGGTCTCCCGGTGGCCCCAGCTGGCCTGGAACTCACTATGTAGACCAGGGTGGCCTCGAACTCACAGAGATCTGCCTGCCTCTGCCTCCCGAGTGCTGGGATTAAAGGCGGCCACGCCCGGCTCCATAGCAGTTTTTAAAAAATTATTTCATTACTATAGTCATTTTTAGTGTGTTTGGTAATAAATGTGAGAAAATATACTGTTTGTGGGGTGCTTTGTTATTATGATGAAAGACAGTAACACTAAGCAATGGTATAGGCCTCCACTCCCTCTTCTTTTCAAAGAGGTAACAAACCTTTAAAGAAAGAGGAGTTTGTTCCTTTTACTAACATGACAAACAAGGCTCACAGAGCAGACATGGTGGTCACAGATCAGAAATGATGCTGCAACTGTGTTGTGCTTGGAAAATGATGGGGACGGTAACTTCTCACTAGCGGTTCCTTTAGCCCTTTGCCCCGACTGGTTCTGTTGTCCATGTGCTCACTGCTTATGAATTCAGTCAACCTGTATTGACACTGTCTTTACTGTGAGCATGTGCTGGGTACCAGTACAAATATGAAAAAGATGCCTGCAAGGAGCCAGAGCTGAGTGAAGAGACGGCTGGGGAGAGCCAGAGGAAGGGGATGAACTGCTCTTTGAAAACTAGAGACAGTTGCTCTTGGTGACTGCTTGGGTGTGTGGTACTGTGCCTGGCAAATACTCCAGAAGTATTACACCTCGTATTTATTAACAAACATAATAAGAATTACTGTAGCAATAATATTTAAACTAGTGAAGGGGGACATTTTGTCCAAATGATTTCCCCCATGGGAGTAAGAGACAGTTCAGGTTAAGTACAATATGGCATGAAATATTTTTGGAAGGAAATGTAATGGATTCTTCTGGGGATAGAGTTCGGGGGTCAGGAGCAGGATGGGAACACTGGCTACACAATTTGTGGAACACAGTGCAAAATGAAAATCTGGAACCTTTACTCAAAAAGTAGGGGAAGTGTTGGTAAAGCTACTGAAATACAAACTTTTTCCTTTCCCTTTCATGTCCATTTACCTTGTCTTGATTTTTTAAAATATTTTATTATATCTATTTTATGTGTATGAGTGTTATGCCTGCATGTAAGTAAGTGCACACATGCCTGCGAAGGACAGAAGAGGCTGTCAGATCCCCTGGAACTGGAGTTATTGGATAGTTGTTAGCTGCCATGTGGGTGCTGGGATTCGAACCCGTGTCTTCTGCAAGAACAGTCATTGTTCTTCACCGCTGAGCCATCTCTCTAGCCCCTTGTCTTGATGTTTTATGAAGAGAGATGTCTCTCTCTCTCTTGCTCTCTCTCTTTATATATATATATTAAAATTCCCATTTTAAATGCAAATACAGGGCTGCTGAGCTCAGTAGGTAAAGGTGCTTGCCACCAAGTCTGATAGCCTGAGTTTGATCCCCAGGACCCACATGATGGAAGGAGAGTGACTCTTACAAGTTGTTCTCTGGCCTCCATTTGCATGCCATGGCCTGTGTGACATCCTCCTGCCCCGCTAAAATAAATACAACAAAAAATGTAAATGTAAGTGTACATTCAACCTACATGCAGAATCACTGAAATTACACAACCTTCTCTTTCGTAGCTGGTTCATGCATACATATCTAGTTCTTACAATAGAGCGGTAACACTACACAGACTAATTTGCTTTTATTTGACTTCTTGATATTGGAAATCTGATCAACACTCCTTGCCTTTGGCCTACTGGTAGGTTAAGCAGAGCTGAAAGGAAAGGAAATATGGGTGGCCCCTTTCCTCCCCTTCCATTGTACTGTACGCCATGTCTGCCTGATGCAGAGCAGAAACACCCATAAGGAGAATATGACAGGGTTTCTTAGGTCAAAGCTGTGAACCCCACAATATGTGCAGATGTGATCTGATCTTGGGAAGAAGAGTCATAAACTGTAGATGTCATTGGTTAAAATGAGGCTGTCCTGGGAGCTGGGGAGATGGTTCAGTGGTTAAAGTGCTTACCATGGAAGTATGAGGATCAGAACTCATTCAGATTCCCAGAACCCACGTACAATGCCAGGTGGGCATGGTGACCTACCTGTAATTCCAGCCTTGGAAGACGAGATGACGGATCCCCAGAGCAAGCTGGCTAGCAAAAACCAACCATGATGGGGAGCTCTGGGTTTAAATGAAGATCCTGTCTCAATGAACAAGGTAGGAGAGTGATCAAGGATGATTTCCGACATCAGCCTTGGGTCCCCACACGCACACGCATCTTTCTATGTTCAAAGCAAGTCTGGTTCAAATGGAACCACAGCCTTTCAAGGTTGCTATTAGTCCTCACCCAATACTTACTTGTGGACATAGCTTACCGGCATTCAATTCCCCTGAAGTATCATTGGACTGTATTCGGAGGAATCCTGTGCTCCTGAGGCATAGGGGATGCAATATGCAAGTGGGCCACAGGAACAGCAGACATCCACTGCACATTCCACTGTCCTGGAAGGCATTACAAAATACAGGATCAAAGAGAGATTCTTAGTGTCAAAGGACTAGGTAGTTCAAAGGTAGAGTGTGTACATAGCATGCTGACATGGGCCAGGTCCTGGATTTAGTCCCCAGAACTGACAACAAAATTCAAATAGTTTAGAGATGATAATGCATTTATATACATTAATAAAGAGTATAAAATTATAAAGTACAAGAGTAATAAAATTATACATCATATAATACATGTGTGTGCATGCAACACAACCCCACTAGCACAGGATGCCATGCAACTACATAGGTCACACATCTATGTATAAGCTTGTCCTAGAAGAGACAATTTTTAATTTTGTATCTTGTTGATCTTACACAATTTTTAACTTAGAAAGGTAATATGGAGTAGCTTTAAAAACGTCCTGGACTTTGTGTTTTGATACAAAATAATGCTTTTTAATTCTTCCTGCTTGATTATCTCAAGAATTTCTAGTCCAGGATCACAGAGAATTTGGCAAATGATGTCTTGATTCTGATTAGCACACAGTTAGAAACAGTTTGAAAAGTTTGCTTGGGGGGCTGGAGAGACAGCTTAGCAGTTAAGAGCACTCACTGTTCTTGTAGAGAGTCTGTGTTCAGTTCCCAACACCAATATAGTGGCTCACAAATACCTGTAACTCCAGTTCCAGGAGTTCTGAGGCCCTAGATGCCATGAGGCTTTGTGGACACCGCCATGCAAAAATGAAGGGCAGGAGGATGTGGATAGCATGTTACCACTGGTATAAAGGAATCAGGGAGTCATATCTATGCTGGAAAATACATGGGCTTTGTTTTGGAGAATGGAAGAAGACAGGTTCTTGCTATATAGCCCTGACTGGCCTAGTACTTGCTGTGTAGCTCAGACTGTTCTCCAACTCCATCTCTCCTGGCTCCCCTAAGTCACTTTTGAAGGAAACACAAGGTAATGGCTGTCCTATGGACAGAGTAGGGCCTGGGACCAGGGTGAGAGCTTAGCATGTCAATATATAAGAGCTTGTATCATGTGAAGAGCAAGGGGGGATGGGGGGAAGAGAGGAAGTTTGTTGCAGCGTTAACAGTCAATAAAATAATAGCACAGTGTAATTACTAGACTTACTTGGCTCTAAGGAAAATTGTAAAGGGCAGATCATTTTGTTCTTATTTTATACATGGGAAACTTGAAGGTAGGTAGAATGTACTTGTTTTAAATCTTTGGTTCTTCATCCATGAACTTTAGAGGTTGAGGGTGGAGGAGGAGTGGTTATTGGTCCATAAGAAGCATTTAATAAAGGTTCAGTTTTTGAATAATCAATGAATGAATACTTCTTGGTCTGGTTGGGAAAGTAACTCCAGCTACATTGTTCCCCAGCAGGCCAGCACAGGAAATCACCCTCTGCTAAAGGCACCTGTGGACCATGAGTGGCCTCTAAAAGTATGTTTATTGGTGCAATGTATTTTTCCTCTTCAGAGATTTTGGCAAAATGAGAGGCTTCCCAGAAGGAAATACAAAACAGAGCAGGGCAAGTATGTTTAGACTCCTCTGAAAACAGCCCCTAGAGAAAAGCCCAAAGTGTAAGTCTCCCCTTCCTTATCAGCCTGGCAGATGAACTGATAGCTAAGTTTAGGGAAGGGGCCAATTAACTAGTGAAGGATCAAGGGCTTTCTTCTTTCCGTGTAACCAGTAGAGAAAGAAAATTGGAAAAGAAATACTGTTGTGGTGAAAAGCAAACCACAAAAGGCAAGCTGTTGCTCAGTGGAAGGCCTCCTCAGCAAATGTATCCCCCGGATATTTGAAAACAACATTCATTCTTTTTGTTTTGTTTTTGAGATAGGGTCTCCCTATAGCCCCAAGGGGCCTAAAACTCACTATGTAGACCAGGCTGGTCTCAGTCTCAAAGAGATCTGCCTGCCTTTGCCTCCCAAGTTCTAGGATTAAAGGTATATGCCACCATGCCAGACCACTCACTCCAGAGGGCTTGCCTAGGAGGGTATGCAAGGAGGCCCTGGGTTCAGTTCCTGGCCCCAGAGCATTTAGTTTCAGCCTCTCTCTCTCTCTCTCTCTCTCTCTCTGATTCACTTTGGATGTACTCCAATTTTTTTTGTGTGTGAAAAAACATGTATGAGAGTGGTAAACCGGGATCCTGTGCCAGTTTCCTATTGGTATTGTGAACGCACCCCAATTCATTATACATTCTTTTTAAAAATGTCTTTAAAAGCCAGATCATTTTTTTGCCAGTTTCCTGTTCAAACAGTCCACAATAGCTCTTTGTTTTAAAAAGAATTCTGATGAAATTCCTTCTAAATAAATCTATGTACTTATCTGCATTTATAGAATATTATAATCTAGCTATCTCTCTCTATATATATTTAGAATAAACATCCAGAGATACAGTAGTTGGATCAAATGATACTTTAAAAAAAATTCTATTATTTTTATGTGTCTGAGTGTATTGTCTGCATGTATGTAAGTGCACCTGTGTCATGCAGTGTCTACAGAGGTCAGAAGAGGGCTCAGGATCCCCTGGCACTGGAGTTAAGGACAGTTGTTGCCTGCCATGTAGGTGCTGGCAGGTCCTCTGAAAGAGCAGCCAGTGCTCTAAACTGCTGAGCCATCTCTCCAGCCTCCTCCAATGATACTTTAAACCTTTTTGGTTTAAGTTATTTTACAGAAAGATGACATCTGTATTCCCAGCATCATTGTATCAGTTTTCCAACCTTACACATCATGTGCTAAAACAAACAAACAAAAACATTGGTGCAGTGGTAGAGGGCAATGATTGAGAAAAAGTATGACACATGGGTGTAAAAATGCTCTAAGGAAACTCATTACTTTGTATACTAACCTGAAAAATTAACAAGTACAAAATCTCCTTGACAAAGAAATGACTCAGGTTTTAAAAACTGTGTTTGCTAGTGAATATAGGCTTGTAATTATTCATGTGAATTTCCTTTGATGACATACCTATTTGTGTCCTTCATCCACTTCTGCATGAAGGGTATTAGGGTTTTACATAATTGATTTATAAGATATGTGTCTGTGTGTGTCTCTCTGTGTGTGTGTGTGTGTGTGTGTGTGTGTATGTGACATTTGTTAAAAAAACTTTCTCAGGCTGGCAAGATGACTCAGCAAGTAAAGGTGCCTGCTTCCAAGCCTGATGGACTGGAGTTTATCCCCAGGACCCATATGGTAGAAGGAGAGAACAGATTCTGAAAAGTCATCCTTTGACCTCCACATACTGAAGATGTATCACATGCACACTCACAGATAAGCATCACACACACACACACACACACACACACACACACACACACACTAAATGAATGTAATTTTAAAAAAAAAAAAAAAACAGCCAGGCGCGGTGGCACACACCTTTAATCCCAGCACTCAGGAGTCAGAGGCAGAGGCAGAGGCAGGCAGATCTCTGTGAGATGGAGGCCAAAAAACATTCTCCAATTTGCCTTTTTTGATAACAATTTTTGTACCAATGTTTTACATTTTATTCAAATACATGTACTTACTGACCATTGCTCCAGGCTTCCCCTCTGTGTTTTCATTCTCTCAAGCTTGTTTGAGGTTCTTATATTTATTTTGCTTATCACTTAAATCCTTACTTTTCCTTTCTCCCCCTTCCAGCTAAGTTCATCATTTTTACCTAATTTAACAACAAATGTATCCATGCATTCTTTTCTCTACAGAAGTGAAAAGCCACATTTGTCACTCCTTTTTTTTTTTTTTTGGTTTTTTTGAGACAGGGTCTGCCTGTAGCCCCAGCTGTCCTGGAACTCAGTATGTAGACCAGGCTGGCCTTGAACTCACAGAGCTCCTCCTGCCTCTGGGACTACAGGCAAGCGCCACCACGCCCGGCACTCCATGGGTTTTTAAATATACTGGATGTTTCTGCGCTTTCAGTCATTCCACCATGCTCCATCCATCCATTCTGTGGAACACTGTTTCAACTAAAGTTTGCAATATGCTTTTAGATTTGGTAAAATACAGATGTTTCCCCCATTTTGAAATATAAACGTCCTAGTTTTTCTCATACATCCTTTGCATTTGAATGTTACAAACAATAAGTGCCCCCATCTACCCAGAACTATTATAACTTTATTAGGATAACAACGTAAAGTTGGCATTTTAACCTGTTCTTAATCTTAAAGCTTTGTTAGTTTCAACCTTTCTAATTTCTTCATTAGGAGCCCGCACATTTATTAAATTTAATCATTACCTATTTTACCCATTTACCAGGGCTCATACATGCTAAAGCTGCTTTTCAAGGTCCAATGGAAGCTTATCAAAGCTGACCTCTTTTTTTTTTTTTTTTAAAGAAAGGTTCTCACAGAGCGTGGACTGGGCTCAAACCACCCGTGTAATGAAAACTGACCTTGAACGTCTGGTCCTGCTGGGGCTTGCCAAGCGCGATCACAGGTATGCACCTACCACCTCGGTAGACTTTCAAAGCTGACTTAATTTTTTCTTTTAACCTGTTAACTTTTACGTGTAGAAAACTAGGCAGAAACTGGTCTCTTTGGTAGTAACTGTTTATTGAGAGTTCACTTTCTATCCCGCCTAGTGATTATCGTCTTCCCGGTATCATCTCATTTAATGATACTATAGCTCCAGCAAATTGGTGCAAGCTGTATTCTTTCCATTTCGTGAAAAGAAGCCTGGCAAAAATCACCCAGGTGGGAGGTGGAATTGGTTTCAAGTTCGTGCATCACCAAAGGTGTCACAAAATTAGCGCACAGCCTGAATGCTGTGCCTTTACATGACTGATGGGCTCGAGAAAGCGGGTTTCTGAAAACAACTGAATTTAAAGGACTGCTTTCCACCCTTTCAACCTGCCAAAAGGACTATTTTCCTCCAATGCTGGCACAATAAAATATGAGGGACTCATTGAACCCCCCTTTTAAGTAGGAATTTGTGCATATCAAAGGGTGGACTTTCTGAAGAAGCTCTTGCGGAAACTGGAAATCTACTGAAATTTACCTCCCCATCGCAGGACAGACAGGTTTCAAACAGCAGGAAAGAAGAGAGGCGTCCGCAGGTTGGAGGGGAGCCGCGCACGCGGAAGTCAAACTTTCTGGGGGCGTCCTGGCCGCGAGTTCCACGCGGGGCGTGAGCAGGTGGCGCCGCGTCCCCGCGCTCTGGGATCAAGCTGGCTGGGTGCCCGGGGACCCCCCGCAAGTCTGGGGAAGGGGAGAGCCGAGCTTTCCACACGGCCGAGGAAGGAGGAAGGGCAGGAAGCGCAGCCCAGCACGGGGGAAAGAAAGCCTGCCATTCCCAGCCCCCCGCCCCGCGGGGCCCGCAGCACCGCCGGCGCATGCGCGAGGCCCGGCCCCCAATTCCCCGAGCGAGGGAGGGAGGCCCCGGGCGGCTGGAGCTGCGAGCCGCGGAGGGGAGAGCCGAGCTTTCCACACGGCCGAGGAAGGAGGAAGGGCAGGAAGCGCAGCCCAGCACGGGGGAAAGAAAGCCTGCCATTCCCAGCCCCCCGCCCCGCGGGGCCCGCAGCACCGCCGGCGCATGCGCGAGGCCCGGCCCCCAATTCCCCGAGCGAGGGAGGGAGGCCCCGGGCGGCTGGAGCTGCGAGCCGCGGCGGGACAGAGCGCACGCAGGGACGCGCCGGTGGCCGGGTCGGCGGGGCTGACGGTCGCGAGCGCGGGGGCCGGAGCCGGCTGCGTGCGTCCACCCGAGGGCACCGCGGGCCGGCGCGGGGAGGGACCCGCCACCCGCGGCGCCCCACGCGGGGACAGCGATGCGTGAGTCTCGCCCCGGCTGGAGGGCAGGATGTGTGAGCAGGACAAAGGCTGGGCGGCGGGGGAGGAGTTGGGGACCCAGAGCCGGTGACCTACCCGGCCGGGACGAGCTAGCGCAGACGGCGACTTAGCAACTTTTGCAAAAGGGGACTTTAGAGATTTGCAAGTTGTTGCACACAGTTCCAGATCCAGGGTCTGGCAGCCAGAGGGGAAGGGGACACCGCCAACCCCGCCAAGAAGGGCAGGAGAGGGCGCCCGCCCCGCCCCGCCCCGGGACCCCGACGAGCAAGGGTCAGGGCCACGGAAGGAGGGGGTCGCGGAGCCCGAGCTGCGCTCAGACTGAAGTTGCCGGTGTTCCCGCAGGGTGCGCCCCGACAGCCCGGTAGCCTCGGACCGCGGCCGGGCGGTGGTGGTGATGGATGAGCCATGGTGGGAAGGGCGCATCGCCTCGGACGTCCACTGCACTCTGCGCGAGAAGGTCAGTCCCTCCCCGCCCTTGTCACTCGGGAGTCTCGGTATTTAGAATCGCTTTCGCTCTGGAGTCGATGTCTTCAGGATGCCTCGCGTGGGAACTCAGAACTGACCGTGCCTGGCTGGCTGTGCGTCAGCCCTTCACCTTCCTGGGGAGGGTGGTGGGGAGATCCCGAGAACTTGAAGTTTTTCTGATTAGTGGTCCAGTTGGTTCCAGTCAACCAGTTGGAGAACAGTCATTGCACCGCACCCGAGATGATTTTACACGGCTCATGAATGGGTCATTAGAGAAAATGTTGTGTATTTATCTCCGCGTGTAATTCAAAAACCTATTACAGCGCATTTTGCATACCATAAAGGATGCTGAATTTCCATTTATTGTAATGATGATGTATCAACTACTTTTAGCATACATGTATTAGATTAGTACATAGCTCAGTGGTAGAGCATACGCCGAAATAAATTTACGGAAAAGTAGTAAAATAGTAACTCGGTGAAAAGAAATATTAGGTAAATGTTAAGAGCGGGAATATTAGGAGACGAATGATTAGAATTTAAAAGCCAGGTGTGGTGATGAACGCCTGTAATCCCAGAATTAGGGAGGCAGACACAGGAGGGTCGCCACAAATTCAAGGCCAGCCTGGTCTACCTAGTGAGTTCCAGGCTGGACAGGGCAACAGAGTGAGACCTTGTCTCAAAAAGACGGAAAAAAAAGAAACACCTAATTGAAAGCGGTTACAGTCTAGAAGGCTACCAGGGAAAAACAAAAGCTCCACTGCCTGCTTGCCTCCTGTGGTAGAAAGGGGGGCAGCTGAAATGTGATCGCGGCTCCCCTCCCCTCCGAGCCTGCGGGTGAAGCTGGAAAAGCCCCGTGGACTGGAGGCCCCCACTTGTTCCACACCTGGGCTGGGAAGGCCGGTTTGGGGAGCTGCTGTGAAGTAGGGAAGTGGGGCCTGTAAGAGTACCACAGGGTGCAGAGCTTCTCACAGCAGAAATATTTTCTCCTGTAGTTCTGGAAGTTGGAGGCAAGATCCAGGTGTGCTCAGGCACACTCTTCTCTCTGAGGGGAACCACTCTAGGGGGAGATCCCTCCATCTTGTATTTTGAGATAGGGTCTTGCCGTGTAGCCCATACTGGCCCCGAACTTGCTGTGTAGTTCAGGCTGCCCTCAAATTCATGGTCCTCTTGCCTCGATCTTGGGATGCCACTGCACAGGGCCTCTTTGTTTTGGTGGTTGCTGGCAGTCCTTGGCTCTTCGCTTCCTCACAGTCTCTGCCTCTGCATTATCTCATATGGTCCTTCTGTGGCTCTGTTTCCTGTGGGACACCCACCCTAATCCAATAGGACTGTTGTACTTTAACTGGTTAGCTCTGAAAAGATCTATTTTCAAGATCATTTTCTCAGGTACTATGTTATTTGGAGGAGAGGTATTCTCAACTAGATTTCTTACCTGGTTAGTCAACCCAGAGTAGGAAAGAAGTCTTTGTACTGGGGACCATGGATCCCTGCAGAGACAGGTCCCTCATTCAGCACCTCTGTACTCTGTCTGTGGCAGTCCTTCAAAAGTCCTCAGCTTCTTGGGGTTGTGCCCCATCCTGGGGTGATTCTCTTCCAGCCATACTAAGGTTCTTACTGTTTTCTTTTTCCTCCACCTGCTAACCTACCTCTCTATTAGGCATAGCTTTCTCTTGTTCCCTTGCTCTTTCTTGAACAGAGTGGTCCTGGAGTAGCGCAGTCTGAGCATCTAGAAAAGAAACTGGGTCTTAGTGGCTCAGCTCAAAAGCAAGATCAGTGCCAGATCAGTACTGCGCACCTGTAACTCAGAACTCAGGAGGTGGGAGGATCAGAAGTTCCAAGACAGACCACTGAGGACTGTCTCAAAGAAGAGGAAAAAGAAGAAAAAAAGAGCTGAGTATGCTGGGCACATATTTTTAATCCTAGCATTCAGGTGGTAGAGGTAGACAGATCTCTGTGAGATTGAGGTCAGCGAGTTCCAGGCCTCCTGGCTATAGGGAGACCCTGTCTCCAAGAACAGTCAGGGACAGAGGGTAAGGCTGTAAATTAAGGGGTATGCTCTTTTTTTAAAAAGTACTTTTTTATTTATTTTTATTTTATGTGTATGAGTGTATTGCCTGCATGTATATGAGTGCACCCGTGTCATGCAATGCCACGGAGGTCAGAAGAGGGCGTTGGAGTCCCCTGGAGCTGTAGTTAAGGACAGTTCGTAGCCGCCATGTGGGTGCTGGGAATCAAACCCGGGTCCTCTGCAAGAGCAGTCAGCTCTTAACCGCTGTGCCATCTCTCCAGCCCCAGGGGTATGCTCTTAATCCTTGTCTAGAAGTGTTGGCTGAATTCAGGTGGTTGCCATTTTTTGCACTTAGCTTAGGACCTGGTGGTAAGAGAAAGTGTTCTGGAAGCAGTGTAATTCATTTCCCTGAGATTCCCCACTCTCGAAACTGACTTTCTTAGGACAAATCTCATGTCCCTTTAGTTATAATGGCCCACCTCCCCCAAATACAGCTTGTTGATTGTATTCCTATTGTATTTCTTCTCCCTCTTCAAAAATGTTTTAAGAAATTTGGCTTAATAGAATTTTGAGTGAAAATTGCAGAGTGAATGAAACCCATACGCCCACTAACCTCTCCTATCATGAGGAACAAAGGCTGGCCCTTTGTCTTTCCTGGACAGGGTAATTTTTTTACTAACATTAACTCTGATAATGCATTTCTAACACTGGATAACAACTTTACAAGTGCCTAGCACACACTAGACACTCACTCTTTGTTGAATGTTGCCAGATGGGGACAAAGCATGTTTGCACACAGGCTGTATAGCTGTCTTTTAGACCCACTATCCACATCCTCTTGTGATGGCTACAGGAGGCAAAGCTGAGATGTTGGGGACAGTGGGAGCCCCACTTCATCAGATAGGAGAGTCCAGTGTAGCATCAGACAAAACTGTGGAAAATGTAACATCATAGAAACAAGTTAATGATGGATGCAAATTAGTAAATGGCAGTATATCCCAAGCTGTCTGTTTAACTTCTCTCAACCTGACAGCTGTGGTTCATTCTTCCCCTTTCTGTAGCCAGAATTATTGTGTCACTTCCTTGCTTTAAGACTTGTTGTAGGGGCTGGAGGGATGGCTCAGCGGTTAGGAGCACTGACTGCTCTTGCAGAGGACCTGGTTTCAATTCCCAGCACCCGCATGACTGCTACAAACCATCCTTGACTCCAGTTCCAGGGGAATCCATTGTCCTTTTCTGACCTCCAAGGTACTGCATGACATGGGTATACTCACATACATGCAGGCAAATACACTCATACACATAAAATAAAAATAAAATATATAGGGCTGGAGAGATGGCTCAGCGGTTAAGAACACTGGTTGTTCTTGCAGAAGACCCGGGTTCGAATCCCAGCACCCACATGGCAACTAACAACTGTCCGTAACTCCAGTCTCAAGGGATCCGACAGCCTCTTCTGACCTCTGTGGGCATTGTACGACACAGGTGAACTTACCTACATGAAGGCAATACCCGCATACACATAAAATAAAAATAATAAAATTTAAAAATAATATATATATATATATATATTTAAAAAAAAGACTTGTGCTTCAAATTCCCAAACCATACCACTGCCTGGAGTTCCTGACACAGCCAGGTGGCTGCCTACTCCCCTATCTTGTCTTTTGCTCCTTCCGAACTCTTCACTTCTCGGGACCTGCACTGACCCCCTTTCTGTCTCTTGAATAGATCAAACGTGTTTGCCTCAGGATTTTGTACTCACTGTTCTTTTGCAGTCTGTGTTTCTCAGCCTGTCTCCTCATAGCCCCTCACCAATCTGTTTTTAAAATTCTTTAATTTTACATGTATGAGTGTTTTGACTGCATGTATATAGGTACATGGCCTGTGTGCAGTGCCCACCGAGGCTAGAAGAGGCTGTCATATCCCCTGGAACTGGAGTTACAGACAGTTGTTAGCTGCCATGTGGATGCTGGGAACTGAACCGGGTCCTCTGCAGGAGCAGCCAGTGCACTTAACTGCTGAGTCATCTCTCCAGTCCCCCATCAATCTTTTATTTCCCTCTTCACATCACTATTTTATTTTCTTCATGGAATTTACCGGTATCTGAAATTATCTACTATTGGTTTACTGTCTTTCCCCCATTCTAGAATATATGCTCCAGCAGAGTGGGCCTATGTCTCTCTGTCTTGTATAGTTTGGGGCCTCTGTGTCTAGAATGAAACCTCCCCTGGATGATAAAAATGAATCAGTCAGTCTTTACTTTTTTCTTCTACAAATTGGAGAGAACTGTTTTATAGGAACTCGAAGATCAAGGGAGGGAATGGCTGGGGTCCTGCCTTTCCACCTAGGATTGCAATGTGGGAAACCAGTGGCCCTGTTCATATAGTGTGTGCTCAGGTAAAGCTTGGGTTTGTGGACACTTTCATGGGGTCCGTAAATAATGTAGTGAGCCTGGTAAGAAAGGCATCTTAGGGGATTGGGGAGATGGCCAGTAGATAAAATGCTTGCCAAGCAAGCATAAGGACCAGAGTTCAAATCTCTAATATGTACATAAAAGCCAGGAAGGGGTGATGGCCTCCTGTAATCCTAGCACTTCGGAGACAGAGACAGGGACTCCTAAGGGCGAGCTGGTTAGCTAGATTAGCCAGAATTACTGAGATCCAGATTCAGTAAGAGACCCTGCTTCAATAAGTAAAGTGGGGAGTGATGCTGGAGAGATGGCTCAGCAGTTAGAGCACTTTTAATCCTCCTGCCTCAGCTTCCTGAGTAGCCAGGACGATAGACTTGCACTGCAAGGCCCAGCTCCTTACTTATATTTCATAGGCGGATAGTGAGGAGGCTGAATCAGGACTCAGTATGTTCACTTGAATTCTTAGGTCTGAGAGTACCAAAGTGCTCGGTGTGCACACCAGTACCTTGTAGAGACTCAGATTGAGGAGACAGCACTCATCTGACTTCTGGAATACTACGTCCAGGTG